CCCTTTCCGTTCCTAGGCTGATTTTGTATTGATAAAGAAGTCTTCTACAATTCTACAATTGCATAGATTTTGAGTAGTTTACAATGTGGGAGGAGAGTCATGTTAGTTTTTGACACCAAAAAAATCAGAATAACTCTAGAAGCTACTAGATCCCTGCAGATTTTTCAATAGCTTACATTGAACAAGAGCAAAAACTCAATGTTTATGCATCCACGATAAGATTAAAACAACATGAATCAAATTATGAAGACATAAAATAAACATAGAATCAAACCATCCTATCACTTGCTGTAAACGTCCTTTACATCTAGAAAATTTCAGATGCAGGAAGCCTAGCATTAAAAGTAGAGCTCAATTTTGAAAGAGCCATGAGCTGAATGCCTTTCTTGTTATCCTGTTTTTTTGTTTGTCTGTTTATTGGTGTGTTTTTTTTTAGTAACGTGACATACCTTTTTATTTATGAGATTTAGATCACATGATATCATTGCATGACCTCCTAACTGAGCATCAAGGAAAAGATTAAAAGCATGATAGCATGAGAAAGTCATGTTCTGGCTTGATTACAGGGTCTGCTAACAGTTATATTTGCATTAAATTTAGTTCCCCACCCTTTTTTATGGTTTGTGCAAATCCTAATGATTTGGATAGCTTATTGCTCAGTGTGTTCCACAAACTTCAAAACTGGGTTAACACAATAACCAGGTGAAGTATTTTCTACAAATTCAACCTATAACTGCCTAAATCATACTTCGCAAACCACTGTGACTGGTTCACCGCATGACTAAATGAAGGCCACGGTATCAGGACTGAAAAATGTAGGTGACTTATGGATGGCAAAGGAATAGTTAGAGCTAATTAATAATGCTTCATGCTGCCATTTAATAGTCTTCTGTTATTCTTTCCACCCAGGTATTGGATCCCTGCAAATCTAAAATGAAACACTATTGCTTAATAGAACGTGTGACTTCAGTCATTGTGTCTTACATGATATTATAAGATATTATCCAGAAGAGATAGAACAGCTCAATTTTCTCTTGTAACATTTATTTCTGTTATAAAAGAAAATATTTTATATTCTCTTTTAAATATATTTGTTTAAGCATCACATGGAACTGTAACGTGGTTTGGTCAATGTGGCTTAGTGTGCGGTGAAAATCCACTGTCTTTATAAATCATGGTTTAGCTTGCTGTTTTAAATCATAGTACTACTTACATAGTACTACTTGATTCATTGATGAAACAAATTATGGCTCACACTGGATGGAGTGCTTAACAAGGAGACTTAGACTCCAATCCATTCAACTAAGAGACTGAAGAAAAATTAGAAGTTATCATAAACATCCATCCCATTACATTGCAAATCACCAAGACATCGCAAGCATGCTACGACCACGTCATGCAAATGCCATTAATTATGTCATTGCCATCAGTCAAAAAACCCTCAGCTAAGACTCATTCCATAATTCATCTCATTCTGCATGCAACTGATTTAAATTATGTCATTCATGCCATTTGCTCAATCGCACCCTTTCCAAATCTCATGAATGCTACAATTGCCTGTAACATATGATTTCTCTATGTGTTTGTTTCTGTATAAATGGATCCATGGGAGGGAGGAATTTTGAAGTGGATTGTGGTTTAGGGCTGAAGGAAGGGAAAGATTTCTGCTTCCCTGCTGATCTGTGGCTTTGTCTGCCCACCCAACTGCTTTTCTTCTTACAGCCCAGTGGGTCTGCTGGTGCTACAGCTTCTAAGTGGGCAATTTTTAAAGGGAGAATGACCTTTCAGGAAAGAATTAAACCTCCCTTTCTTTTGGAGCTGAAAATTATGCGTGGCAAGATGCTGACGTTGTAAACCACTCAGAGAATGCTGTAAAGCACTGTAGAGTGGTATATAAATCTAAGTGCTATTGCTATTCATCTCCTATTCATTTATTTTTTTAAAGATGCCGAAAGTTTGTTACAGCCCAGAGGTGGGTTCCTACCAGTTCGCACCTATTCGGTAGAACCGGTTCGTCAAATCTACTGAACCGGTTAGAAGAGGTTCTACCAGTGGACCTGGAAAACAGGCCACACCTACAGAAGAGGTTCCAAAAATTTTTGAAACCCACCACTGTTACAGCCCTATGCAGAATAAAGATTGCTTTCCCCATAAGTCTTCCCAAGAGTAATTCTATCCATTTACTTATTATCCCACCTCTATTATTTTTATAAATAATACAAGGTAGCAAACATATAATACTCCTTCATCCTCTCATTTCCCCCACAACAACAATCCTATGAGTGAAGAATCATAGGGCTGAGGCTGGTTGGGCTGAGAGAGACCAACTGACCCAGTCACCCAGCTGGCTTTCATGCTTAAGGGAGGCCTAGAACTCACAATCCCCTTGTTTCCAAGCCAGCACCTGAAATTCTAGACCAAATTGCAAACCACGAGACCAAACACTATGGTAGATCATTTTTACTGCTATCCTGAGCTCTTCCCAAGAAAGACTGAAGACAGGAGTTTAAACAGGCACTCCAACCAAGGATTCCTTGCTCTCATTTCAGTGTCATGATTCTTCTTGATTAATTCATCATGGAATGCTCAAAAGCTGTCTTGTGTCTTTGCAACGTTACATTCATTAATAAAGGAAAAGGTACTTTTGTATTTAGAGCACCTGTGAGGTGCATCTTTGCGTGATTAGCTCCTCCGGCCTGCTTCCTCCTTTCCAATAAATGCAGGAGATGCAATTTGAGGGATGACAGTTCTTGCTCATTCATAGTTTTAAAAGAAACGTTTGTGTGTGTGTGTGTGTGGGAGTGTAAAAGTAATACATGTCTTCCATTTCAGTTCAGGAGGTAGCAGAAGGCAGCATCCGTTAGCAACCTAGGCTTGAGGAATACTGAACTAAGTAGAAGCTCCCTAGAAGGTAACACCAGGCAGACTCAGAAGTTGATCCCATAAACCAGTAGTGCAGGAACAGATCCCTCCAGATGTTATTGAACTAGAACTCCCAGCATCTTTCACCATTGCTCTTGGAGGAGATGGAAATTCAGTTCGGAAGAACAATGGAAGGCCATTGGATGCTTACTTCTGATAAGCAAATCCATGGAAACCAAAAGAGTTCGGGGTGTTGAGTGGGTATAGGAGTTTTAGAATTGCTATAGAAATAAGGGAGCATTTGTATGTCAGGTAAGTGAGCAGACGACAAGGATTACAATAATTTTACTAAGGGTACTTTCAAGGCAAGGCCCTCCTTTCTGAGCCAATGAAGGCAACTCTCAGATCAAATAGGGCAGCTCTTCATTTTAGATCTCTAGTTTTGCCATTTAAAGTTGAACAATTTCATGTCACTTCTGACTCTTCCTCACCCAATGAACCTAAAACGATGATGGCCGGAATAAAGTTTATAGTTTGACGCCATGCCCATCTAGGAGGCTGATTTAGAAATATAATCAAAGTTAGCTCTGGTTAGTTATTGGGTAATGGATCAAGGAAAATTATGTCAGAGAAAGGCAATGTGAAACTCTGTGTTTCATGCCAAGAAAACTCTGTAAGGCACTAGAAGTCAAATTTGACTCGGGAGTGACTTGACTTGAATTTACATGATCCTGGTGATTGCATGCCACAATCCGGATCTTCTGGACTAAAATGCAGTCCTGTGTGTTTCTCCCTCCCAGATGTACATTCAGACAACAACCCTCACCATCTCCATGAGCCTGAGCGCCTTTGTTTCTCTCGGGATGCTCTACGTACCCAAAGTCTATGTCATCATCTTCCACCCGGAGCAGAATGTGCAGAAACGCAAGCGCAGCTTCAAGGCAGCAGCCACAGCTGTCAATGCCTCCACGAGGCTCTCCCAGAAAGGCGCTCAGAATGGCGAAAGCAAAGATGAGAAACAGGACAGTAAGTAACCCAAAAGTAGGTATCACTCTTATTTGCTCTTTGGCGACCCCCCACCTGACGTGCCTCCAGTTGACCTCGACTTGCCCTGTAAGTACCGTTCCTTCCTTTCCCTCTGCTTCACCCATCAAGTACCATGCCCCCCTTTCTCCTATCACCACGGTGCCTTGGAGAAATGAAATCTTAAAAATTTGCATTCCAACCAATTACCTTGTTGAAACAAAACCTCAGTATTAGTGAGAGATACTCCTACAGGGTCCTTCAGACAGGGGTGGGCTTCAAAAATTTGAGCAAAGGGTTCTCTGCCCAGTTGCTGGGTGGGCGTGGGCATGGTGGGCATGGCTTAGCTGGCCTTCTGCACCACGGCAGTGGGGGCGTTTCCTCGAGCCTACAGAAGGGTGAAAATGGCCTCCCCATTCCCAAACTTCCAATAGGCCCGTTTTTTTTAATTTGAAATTTGAAACTTAATAGAATTTGTATGCCGCCCAATCCCTTGGGACTCAGGGCAGCTTACAGAGCAAGATAAAAAACATTTAAAATTTAAGAATAAAAATACAGTTGTTAAAATTACACACCATCCATTCTATCTAAGTGGGGCTGGACATTAATCAACAGCCCCAGGCCTGCCGTAACAGCCAGGTTTTGGTGGCTTTTCGGAAGGCCGGGAGAGTGGTAAGGGTCCGGATCTCTACGGGTAGATCGTTCCACAGGAGGAGAAACAACCAGTCCTTTGTTCAGGAATTATTCGGTTAGGGTTTACAAGAAAGAGGCACACCAAACAATGAGAAAGCAAATATTTTGATAGAACTTGAGGGTTAATGTCAGTGGTGAAACTCAAATTTTTTTACTACTGGTTCTGTGGACGTGGGCGAGACGGGGAAAGGATA